ATAACACACTCGATAAAATGTAATATAGAAGATTTAACTTACCATGGGTTGGGTTCCTTCCGTAATAATCTATTTATTGTAACGCAAAATATGGCTAGTATCTATAAGAACCTCGACGACCTTTTGGTTACCCTATCAGTGTTGAACTTTGAAATTGACGTTCTAATACTTACTGAATGCAGATTAGACTTTAACAAACCAATACCATTTTTAAATAATTACACGTCCTACCAATCAAGTAAACTTTTAAATCAGAATGATGGGGTAGTAGCTTATATCAAAAACAATCACCGAGCTAAGGTTATTGACCTTCACCTCTCTGACGCTACTGGGCTACAAATAGAGATTGATAAATATGTCTTGCTGGGTATATACCGCTCCCCCTCTTTTCTCAACGCCAATAGTTTTACTAGTTTTCTCGACTTACACCTGGAAACTATTAGTCATCATAAAAATGTGTCTGTCATAGGTGACATAAATATTAACCTGCTTCCCGTAGCTACAGAGAAGCCTCAGTATCGCCGTAATAGACTCAGCTACTTAGAAGTATTATCCCTGCATGGCCTATTGCCTGGTCACACTTTACCTACGAGAAAGAGATCCTGCCTTGACCACGTAATGATAAAACTTGAAGTAAACCTCATTGCAGCTTTTATTGCCGTTCTTAACACGACGGTCACAGATCACAATCTTGTGTTGCTTCAGTTATCTAAAACATCGACCCAAAAAGCTCCCATTAAGTCGAAGTTAATTACAGATTTTGATGGGGCATATAATACCCTCATATCGACGAGTGTCCCACTTTCAGAAATGCCAAATAGCCCTGAAGAATTGGCCAACCACTTTATTAATATACTTAAGTCAGCTATCCAACAAAACTCTAAATTAACCCACTCTTCTAACAGTAAAAGGATATTAAAACCCTGGATAACTCCCGGAGCTCTGAGGTGTATAAGGCTAAGAAATAAATTGCAACAAAAGGTAGAAAATGACCCCCACAATATAATCTTAAAAATAACTTACAAACGTTTTCGAAATTTCTGTTCCAACCTTATTAAAAAACTTAAACGACAGCATCATGGAGAACTTATTAAAAAATCTGCCAATAACCCCCCGTAAGTTCTGGAAAACAGTTAATGAGATCACTCGGTACAAACCACCTAAGTCAAATAATGTAGCCCTAATTAACTTAAAACCGCTACCACTAGATTCATTGAACTATGTCAACAACTACTTTGCCTGTATAGGTGCTAGCTTAGCTGAAACAATTGCAACAAATTCAGGTACTAGAAGTAGTGTATTAGTAGCCCCTACCACTAATTATACACAAACCTCGTCCTTCGTCCTGCTAAACACTGACAACAAAGAATTTGAGCGCATCTTGATGAGTCTAAACTCAGGAAGCTCACCTGGATGGGATGGTATCAGCACTGGTTTTTTAAAGCATGCTAGAGCCTTTGTTGTACCGCATATACGTAACCTTGCAAACCTTTGCTTTAGTACTGGTGTCTTTCCCAGCGCCTTAAAGAGGTCTATAGTAACCCCTGTGCATAAGAGCAGGGACAGAGAGGATGTAAGCAATTATAGACCTATCTCTGTCCTCACCTCCATCTCCAAAATAATTGAAAAGTTGCTCAACAATAGATTGGTTGATTACCTAAATAAATTTAAACTACTATCCAATTCTCAGTATGGTTTCAGAAAGGGTCTTTCAACTCAAGATGCTATTCTTGATCTCACTTCAACTATAGTTGGTGAAGTGGACAATGGCACCAAATGTCTTACAGTCTTTTTGGACTTGAAAAAGGCTTTCGACACCGTCTCTGTGCCTATTCTTATATACAGGCTAGATTGCTTAGGTATTAGGGATACTCCGCTCATGCTTTTTAAAAGTTACCTACAGGAAAGAACTCAGGAAATAAAAATAAATGACTTATACAGTGAGAAAGCCACTACTAGTTTTGGAGTCCCACAGGGTAGTGTCCTGGGCCCGACTCTCTTTTTAATATACATAAATGATCTATGTAATCTAAGGGATGTCGGGTGCAGGATATACTCCTACGCGGATGACACTGCGCTTGTTTTTACTGGTAGCACCTGGAATAATGTCCAAGAAAGTACTGAGAGGGGATTAATTAACGTATATAACTGGTTTAAAGACAACCTTCTTACCTTGAACACTCAGAAAACTAACTACATCTGCTTCACTCCCTCTAATAAATCCCAACCTAACCATAACTTTGCCATTAAAATTCACACTTGCACTAACCCTGGTAACCTGATTTGCGACTGTCCTATTATTGAAAAAGTTAGCCAAACTAAATACCTAGGTATAATGCTGGACCAACGACATAGCTGGCACTCACATTTGGTGCTTTTAACAAACCGCACTAGGAAACTCATATGGGTATTCAAACCGCTACGGCAGGTCATGTGTAACAAACTTAAAAACCGAATCTACGTGGCCCTGGCCCAATCGGTGCTCACCTACTGTATCTCGATTTGGGGAGGAGCAGACAAAACTCACTTCCTTGCACTCGAAAGAGCTCAGAGATCACTTATCAAAGTCATCTACTCCAAACCTTATCGTTCTCCCACTGATAAACTACATAGAAAGAGTGGCCTACTCACAGTCCGAAAACTCTATATTCTGAATCTCATCTTAACGTGCCACAAATCTCTACCTTATGTCGACCTGAATCATAAAAGAAAGAAGGATGTCGTTGCACCCGTCACTGCCGCACGTACTGCGTTCGCTAGAATACAATATAGTATGCAGTCTGCTTATATATACAACAAAGTAAACCGTATACTTAAAATATACCCCATGTTATCTTACACTTGCAGGAAAACTGTAAAAGAATGGTTGGATTCACTTAGCTATGAAGATGTTGAAAACCTTTTCATAAGAATTTGTTAAAATGTTTGGTTCAATTAATGCTGGTTCCTGTTTGCGGAATGTTCATTCCGATCCCAAGGAACCTTATCCGTAGGGCATACATGTAACCAACATATGCACACATGCACACTCCCATACAGACACGAGCTCGTATACACACATACATACACTCATTCACACACTACGTGCACATATACATGTACACACACACGTACACACACACGCACACACACATGCATACACACATACACACACACACACACACACACACACACACACACACGCACACACACGCACACACGCACACACATGTACAGACGCACACAAACATATATACACACTCACGCACATTTTATATACTACCATACATGCTTACATGAAAATAGTTCATTGCCGCAATTTAAATTTAAATTTGAATTATATCAAAAATGTTATATTTCAATGTAAAAAAAAAACCATACCATCCTAAACTAACCTTTTAGATATAATATACCTACCTAGTTTATCTTATATAGCCAACCGTAAGGGAAGTAGCGAGTTATTCCCAACACAAGTGTCTCTGACTACTTAAAGGGAAGACTCGACAAATATTTGTAATAGGATTTTTGGAAATAAAGGAAATTAATATTAAATTTAATTAAATTTTTTAATTTAATTAACTTACAAGCCCACATATAAAAATGTGGAAGGAATTATTTTTATTCTTAATCGACTTATATATTTTGCGTTCCCTCGGCTTTGCAACAGTAACACCGCTACTTTATACTTATATCACGTTTTCACCTGAGAGATATAGTATTACACTTCAAAATATTCTAGTCTAATTTGTTTCGGATACAATAATTATCTAAGTTGTTGAGATCGTTTTGTAGGAGATTTTAAGAATTGTTAACTAATCTAAAATATTTTATGTTATCGCCTAAGAGAAAAACTTAGTTTTGGAAGCATTCAATAGTATCATTGATAAATATGACAAAGAGCAGAGGGTCACGTAGCGTACCTTGAGTAGTGCCAGAAGAGACACTCATCCAGCAAGATGTAAATTCGTTTAAAATTATCTTTTGTGATCTGTATGAAATGAAGCAGTAGATAATTTTTGCAAAAGTGTAGAATGGTATATGCGGTCGGATTTTTACCTTTTTTATGATTGGGAGTTATAAATGCGGATTACCATTTTGCAGGTATTGAACCCTTACAAATGAATCTTTTAAAAATAATTGATAGAAGTATCGATGATGTTTCGGCACATTTATTTAGGAAAATAGCCGAAAGCCCGTCATAAGCAGCTATTTAAATCAAGTGACTTGAGCAGCCTTTTTAATTCAAAAAACTTAATTTCAATTGAAAAGATATCAATAACACTTATAGGAGCTATATTATACAATTGAGTTACTAAATTGAATGACGTTAGAATTAAAATATTGAGCACAGATATTACTAATATCTTCTCCTGAAGTAGTAGATATATCGTAGTACGTCATACAAAAAGATATGAAGTATTATTCTTTTTATTTCTGATATAGTACCAAAATGTTTGGGAATGACTTCTAAAGTTATCTTGAACTTTGCTAACGTAGTTGCCATACATATCCTTTTCAATTAACATTACTCTTTCTTTGAATATAATAAATGTATTTTATCACTTAAACTACCATACATTTTAAACTTTTTATGATACTTATTTTTTATTAATTAAAACTAAAAATTTGATAAGTGTACGGTTAAACTATGGTTGATATTTTCTTTTGCGATTAAATGATAGGGATTTATCACGAATATTATAAATTATGTTATAAAAAGTATTGACTGCATCATCAATATTACCACTACTAAGAATTTCGTCCGAATTAGTCGAACCTATCTCTAAGTTTATTATATCATAATTGCCATTGTTAAAAGAGAATGAGACACGTTTAGAATATGTAAGGAGCAGAAGATCGACAAAGTTACCACAAATTAATAAAGCTTTGTAATGCTAGTCTTCCGGCACCAAGAGATCTTGGCAGTGTACGACTTTTACATATTCATTGGATGAAATTAGTTCAAGCTAATGGTTATAAGTATTATACGCTCGATTAAATTGTCGTAAGTTACAGAAATTTTAAGTTTCAATGAAATATTGCACAAGTTCACCTTTAGCACCGCAAGATTTGGAACCAGTTGAAGTATTAAACCAGATAATAGAACCAATATTAAAATCACCTATATTGAGAAATTTGTCATTAGAATATGCTGATATAAGTAACTTTAATGTAGTACTGACAAAGTTATCAACTTGATCAGAGAAGGAAGCACCCATGTTTTCGGTACAAAGGTAAACAGTGAATACGTTAAGTTTTATGTTGCGCTTAGAATGAGGGAATTGTAGAGTCAATGAAACCCAGATGTCTTCAGCTGAAGAACACCATTCAGGTTTGTCTACCGCTATGTTGTTCTTGCTTATCACTATGAGCATCACCGCCTCGCATTTGTTTAGTTTGATTAAGATCGCGGTTGTAACACCAAACACACAAGTTAAGTAAGGAAGCCATCATAATTACTTGAAACATTCAGTACATATAAAAGAATAAAAGCTATAGATGAAATTCAACTTATAGTGCCAGCTAAAGTATTTGTTGGTTACTTAAGTCAAACATAAATATAGGATAAATAATTAAATAAAAATTGAAAATAGGATTTCAATCATTAAAATATTGTGATGTAAAAGCAACGCAAGTATACAGTTTTTTTTTCTGTACCATCTTATAAGTGATATGAAATAAAAACAATTTTTCAAAACTAAATTTGATACTTTATGCGGTAATACACTGAATTTTAGGTCGAAATTCAGGGCTGTATTGTAGAAGACTTCTTTTGAATTTACAAATTAATAAATTAAATAGTTAAGTTTAACAGTATTAATAATGTAATATAGTTAAAGCTACTAGATAGTTTTAGTATGTTAAATTAGCAAAATATAAAATATCCTACTATATAATAAGTCGGTAGTAAACAAATGACATAGTTCTAAATAATATTTACCGCGCTGAGAATGCGACTCGATATGTAAGAAAATAAAACCGAAAACAGTGAATTGCAATAGCGTAATTGGTTCTTAGAAAATAAATTATTATAGAACAGATCGTGTTTACTTACAATTGCAGTGTGAGAAGTGATCCCTGGTATAAAGATTATAGGAACAAAATTGAATGCAAACAACAATTTAAACAGAACTCCACTTCTCCAACTACGTTTGAATTTTGTTGAAATATAAATGTAAGGTTTTAATGACACCAAAAATTAAGGCTAATAAATAAACAACAGAATATTTGTTAATGAACGTAACTGGACAAGATCCGATTCTGATTTTATATACAATATAAAAAATTGTTACGTATCGATTTTCCGCACAAATATCTTCCAGTACTTGATCCATACGTATTTGTAGTTAATATCTTTGCAGCTAGTTTTAGTTTTGTTCAACAGCATCTTTTTGGAATAACTAAGGTGATCATTTATATAGTGTTTCCAATATCTTCCATTGAAATAAATTTGCTCAGGCGAGAAACTACGATGAAGTATTCTTTCATGTAATTAATGATAAAAGAAAAAATAACAGGCTTAGTCTTGTTAGGTCCAGTATCTCGCGTCTGGACACGTGTTACGTAGTTCATATTACTCTTCAATACAGGATAAGCTATTATAGATCCTAATTTAGTTACAATGTCTAGCAGATTCTCCCCAGGTTTAAATGGTACTTCCTTGATTGAAACGTTATTTGAACGAAGCCACTGATTTTTTTTTTCATAAATTTTTGCGTCCGTCTTATTTATCCGCCTTTAGAGACGATATTTTATGACGAGCATTTTCGACTATACTTGATATCTTTTTTCAATGATATCAACTTTTTGTTACTTATTAAAATTCTATTGTTGGTCGCATACAAATGCACGTAGTCACGTTCAAGTACACTTAAAACCGTGTTTATGGTTACAAATATATATATATATATATACACATACTTTAAGAACACGTTGGTGTCTTAAAGTATATATGCATCTATCTTCTTTATTTGCTTACAATATCCGTATATTATACCCGTGAGTGCATCCTAGTTTGCCTCCGATATTCTTGCATATAAGACACGAGCAGGGTTCGTGTACCTCCTTGTCTACCCTTACATGTCTAGTACTATAATTTATATAGCAGTTAAACGAATTCAGGCTAACATTTATTAGATACAAGAAAATATACTAGATTTGTGAAACCTTAAGTAATACACTTATCAAAAAAACGTAATTCAGTAAATTTCGCTGACAGTATTAGCATTTGTTATGGCCTTTAAAATCAAACCTTTGGGCGTCGTTTATATAATTTTTGGTCTAAATCATTCTTTGAACTTAATACTTTACATTTTTAAAGTAAAGAAAAACTTTTTGTTTAATAAATTATGTAATAAAATGTAGTTTTTTGTCCATTTTGCTAGAAAACAATGTGGTAGTTCACGTGTAGTTCATTTTATTATTCAAGTAAAACAAAAAATAAATATGAATTTTGATTTTCGCACATTTTTAAAACCGTTTAATTTTATAACTTCAGATAACTCTCGTAAATGTCGTTCACCTATCAACCGATTGAAAGTAAATTTTATATCATTCAGGTGACGGAAAATACGTAAGATCGTGTAGTAATTCATTACGAGTCCTTAATTTTAATTGCTTTTGTTTAAATCATCTAGGCATCTAGAGGCAGGCTCATCTATCTTATGAACTTCATGATCTAAAACCAGTGGACATCGTTCTAAAGAATTAGGTGAGAAAGTTATGGCTAATAAAAGACGCGCTGCGCTAAAAAATTATTTTTCATTTCATCATCCGTTACAGACCAATAATATCCTCGGCTTAACATGGGCCTGTTTTATTGTAGAGAGAATATGTAATATCATTGGACGTCATTCAAAATGATTTTCAATATGACGTATCTATACGGTATGCTAAATCGAAATAGATGGGTGATAATCTAAATGCCGCGGAATGTAACATAAACATTAAACTACGTTCATTTTCATCACATTCTTATTTAAAAAAATCATTAATTGATGTGAAAAAAAAATTGCAAGACGTTAATATATTATTTTATTTTGTACTAAATAAATTTGGAAGACGTCAATATATTATTTTATATTGTGCGAAATAAGGGACGCAAAACTAATAGGCTAGACTGTAGGTGGTAGATTGCAATATTACTTTCATAGACGAGTTTGTTACCACCCAAAACGCTGTTCGTGATAATGTTTTTTTATATAATAAGGGTGACAAACGAGTACACAGTCCACCTGATGGAAAGTGGATGCTGTGGCCCATAGACATATATGTATCGATTAAGAATCAAAACACAGATGCATTGTCATCAGGACTCCACGTACTTACTTCTATTTATATCTGAACTTGTCGTACCTATTAATTTTTCTATAATTCCAAGTTTTGTCGAAGAAACTACACCCAATTGATTCATGGCTTCGTTTCAAACAATGGAAAGGAAATAAAGTGTACTGCAGCGATAAATTCACTCCTTTAGCAGATTTGGAAAAGTGTATTGGCTTTAATCCAAATTAAATACGAAGTCATTCGACCTAAGACTTTAGAAATAGATAAATTAATGTGATTTGGCGTTCATTACTGAATTATTACTAAATTCACAATTTTTTTACGCAAACAACTTTTGAATACAGTACTACGAGTATCTCGTATGAGTATAACGTACTATAATTATATAATTTTTTATTCCTTACATTAATTTCTTAAAACTAAGTGGCGATTTGCTTCCATCTTATTAATGAAAAAGAATTTATACAAAAACTTTGTTTCCTGACAACTATTTAAAAATAATAAAAACCTGCGATAAGCGACCCACCTGCGATACATAACAACTATGACAAAATATTATCAATGAGGCAACCTATGGGGAAAGTATATATTAATCAATTGCCTATTATAGGTTGTAATAGAAAACTATTGTAAATGTCACACAAATGTCCATCATTCATCATAAAAATAAGTTTCTAAATAATAAAATATAAATAATAAACAGCACATTAAGATTTAAAACGAAACGGTTACTTGGACCGTTACTTGGAAGTTATCGTGAAGCTAAACCATTTGGATCTAAGCTAGATGTTTATTTTTACTATCACATTTCCATTTATTACCCATATCTTTATTGCCCATAACAAAATCATCACTCAAATTAGTTTTACTCAAAATACAATATAGACATATTAAAATAATAATTAAAACATTAACATCACATAAAAGAACAATAAAACATTAAACAAAATATCACACTTTTACAAGCTATTTTTAGTCATAAACATAAAATGTCGGCTGAAAAATTTAATACTTAATTTAAAAACAACAAACATAAATTTCTTACACAATCTGACAATATAATTCACAATTTAAATCTTTGAAACGTTAAATTTAGACATTTAATTTCTTACATGTGTTTACCATTATTACGACATTATATTATCAGAAATGCTTTTTTACATATTTATCAGCTTAATATTTTATAAAACCGTCCTGAAATGTTTTTTTAATTTATTAATGTACACAAAATAAGATACAGAAACAGTCTTATAGTTATTTCGTACAATGGTTATACTTATTCCATTATTTGCTGAAATATCTTCCAGTAGACCTTTACGGGAAAATATATTAAAATGGCAAATTTAGTGCGTACTTGCAGAGCATGGAAGTAATTGAAATTGGCCGATAATTGGCAGGATCAGCACGGCAGCCTTTTTTGGAACATTCTGCACATTGGCCAACATCCAGGATTTTGGCACTAATCCAGTCCTAAATGAAAAGCAGTACTAGCCTGTCAACATAGGAGACAACTCAGGTGCTCAGCTTTTAGAACTATAGCTGCTATATCATCTGGTCCACTAGTTTTATTCACATCTAGACACCGCAAGGTTTTGAGACTACTTATTTATGATACTTTTTAAATATTAGTCCCGCAGTGAGGTAATTTAGATGGAATGTTGTTGCCACTGTAAAGACGAATAGAGATGCGAAGAAGTCCACTTTCTCTTTAGACGTATGCGCGAGTGTGCCATCCGGTTTTAACAGCGAAGGCAGTGAAGGCTGACAGAAGTTTGTCTCGACCACTATGGCAAGAGAACAAAAAGCTCTAGTGCCGGATGCCAAATATGTATAATGCGATCGAGAGTGGCTTTCCGTAATGCTTTTTTGTAGGACTTGGCGGCCTGGTTGAAAATTCTCTACCTGAAGCTGATATTTTTTTTATAGAAGAGGGGGCAAACGAGCATGTGGCTCACCTGATGTTAAGTGACTACTGCCGCCAATGATCAACCCCAACACCAGGGGGAATTGCAGGTACGTTTCCGGCCCTTTAGAAAGAAGTACGCTCTTTTCTTGAAGGTCCCCAGGTCGTATCGGTCCGGAAAAAGCG